AGTTCGCAACTAGACTTTTATCACGGCCTAATTTTTCAAAATTAGAGCTAATGTTTTGAAGAAAAATCGCACTGACTTTGTAGGAGATACGTATATGAAAATTCATTTTTTAAATTGCTTAGGCTTCCTAAATCATGATTCAAAAACACCTATTTTCGAGCAATGACAATAATTCAAAATCCGTTCTCGCTCTCGAAACGCCTATAAATATATATCAAAAATAAGAATACCGAGACGAAGAAAAACTGCTATTTAAAGGCAGAATTATTGGTATGTCATAGTTGATTTAGGAATTTCATGAATTCGACAACAAAAACCAAATTCAAAATAACGCGATCATTTAGTTCAAAGCAGTAAATATTATCAAGCAAATTATTCGAGCTTTTAATTTCTCTATACGTAGATGAATCAAAACCACTCAATTACATTTAAAATTCAAATAATCCACATGCGAGACAATATATTATGTAATTACTCTTTATGCCAAAGTCAAAATCATACGTCAAGGATCTTTGATAGAGAAGTAACCGAGTTTAGTTGCCTTTTGTCGTATTTTGCCTTCAAACTTTTTCGACATCAAATTTTATTATAAACAGAACGAGCTTAGCTCATATTATGCATGAATTTATGGTAATCTTAAATTGAGAATGTAAATGCCTTCTTCGGAAAGATTTAAACCCACAATCACATCTTTTCAACTCTATAGTTCAAGCCGATACTCTAATAAATTGAACGAAGTTTTTCGAGAATGCTAATGATGCATAGATACTTTTAGAAAAAAATTATGTTTATTTAAGCAGTAAGAAGCTTTTCATTGCGAAACACGAAGCATCAGCAAATTGCCCAAAGTGGTTTGACTTAAATTATATCGAGCCAGTTTAACTGTCAATTGCCCATTGAAGAGATCGATTTGGCAATAGTAGTTGAGTCTAGCGCCAACATCAATTGTATAAGTGCCTGCAGTTAGGTATATACTGTTTCTGATCGCGAGCATACAAAATGATGACTACTTGGCAATGGATTAAGCCACCAACTTCGTTCTGAGCCGACTGATGAACCATCATTTCTATAAAACGTGTTGTCTCTGACTGTATGATCATTATAGAGAAGCTCTAGCCCGAAAGCACTGCCACTCGCAGGAAATCGACAAATGGCTTCGAAATTGAGTTCATAAAACATAGGATAAGCATGGCGTTGTACTAGAGTGAGACTGCGAAGTAATCTTGAAGAAGTTCTCCTGCGATACATGTGGTTGAAACTTTTTGTAAACGGTTGATGGTGCAAGGTTTTGCCCTTGTGAATCGGTTACTTTTATCAATATTGGATCGGCGCCAGTACCTATCATCAACACTTGTGTTGATATAATAACCAAAGCATTTATCTTCGTAGTCATCTTGGGTGTGTCTAACATAAAAAGAATGAATAGATTTGATACTATTTCTTTCGATGTATGGAATACGGATGGGTAGTTGAATGAGAAACTGATATTATTGTATGTTTCTAAGACAGTAAAACAAATCCTACGATGCACAATCCGTCATACTGTTTAATATTACCAGAAGCATTTCAGTAGAAAAATGTTAAAACCAGCTAATATGCATGAGTAAGGAAAAATATTTATACATCGAATAAAATAGAAACAAAATAATGATTTATTATCAAGATGTTACTCATGATGCTGCACTTATCACTAAATTATAGATCTAAGTCTGCATCTTTTAGTACAATCTTGAGCGTCTGAGTGTGAGTTTAAAGATATATACGCCCATATCAAAATTCACACCCACACTCTCATCAAGATCCTTTTTGAGAGAAACAGATTATTTTAATTCCTTAAATTGGAAATTTCTTTATTGACGTATTATAAAAGTTATATGATTCTGGTTTATCTAGTGACCTTTTATTTAACAACAATATCGAAAAAAAACAAGTTTCATAAAATTACGGCAATCGAATTGTTGCTGCAATCATAATATGATCTGATGGATGTGTTTCATCTGGATAAGATTCACTAGAAGGATGATCTGGTAATTCCAACACGTTTTCTATCGTAAGATGACCATGAAAAAATATATAATCTAATGTAGCACAATAATCTGGACAGTTGGGTGTATGAGCAAAGTCTGTGTAAGTCGGTTCGACTCCGTTTTTCTCTCGATAAGCACTCTTCAATACTTGTTCAGCGTTGCGACGATACGAGATTTCATAAGTTCTAGATTCTGGTATTTGATAGCCATCATAATTTTTCTCTGTTAAAGCCTTGTAGCACATATCTGCTGGGTCAAAATTGAAGTCACCAGCAAGAATAAAATCTTGTCCACCTGTTAAATGAAACATCAAATCTTTCACAATTGATGAATGAATCAGCATAATGTCAGGTTCTTTGTAAAGACAAGGCATATGGTACGTGCCTATATAGATTGATTTATTGTCAATAGTAACTTGTATACAGATGAGAGCATTGACTCTAGTCATAGCAGTTTCCCATGGGTCTGGCGTATCGTGTTGTTGCTCTTCCATGTCGCATTCCGATGTTAAAATATTTACTTGCTGTTCTCGAGGCTTACTGATCGAGTGTATAAAATCTCCAATTCTTATAATAGAAAGTGAATTAAGTTTCATAGAAGCCGGAATTGCGATACCTATGCCCATACAATCGTTATAACGTGCACCATACAAATGATGAAACAATGTGTAATTCCATTGACGAAAAACTAATTCAAGTGCTGGCAACAATGTTAAAGATAGTTCTTGTAAACAGATGATCGTATTTTCATGACGATGAACTTCTTGTTCTAATTGAGATCGAATTAGATTCCATCGATAATCGGTTTTGAGAAATTCTGGTCGACATTTACAATAAATGTCTGGTCGATCAGCATAAATAGGTACCAAAATATTGTATGATACGACACGTACGGTCATACTTCTCTTCTACAAAATAAAAGTGACATAGAATAACGAGTAGAATAAAATACTCAAATTATGTACAAAAATTTTTAGCATATGACACATGTGTACATTGACTAATACAAAAAAAATGCTGAGAGAATCGAAAAAAATATGTATTCAATGACTCATAATAGAAATTGAAGCACATTTAGTAGATTTATTCTTGCATTTATAAACTAAAGGGAATAATGGTAAAGTACTATAGTGTGCATCTGCTTGCTTTATTCGCTTCGAAGACCGAAGTGCATACTCACAATAATTTACGTACTGCCGTTGGGCCCATATAATGAATCTTTCTTCAAATGAAACGGCAATAACATATTTCAGAGAACGAAAA